AGGTAACCTTGGGTTCCTGTTTGATTTGTCTGACTTCCTTTGTTGAAGGACCAGCTTTTTTATCTGCCCCCTCACCTCCTTCTACTCCTACTCCTTCTTCCTCTTCTTCCTCTTCCTCCCTTACTAATCACTGATATGGACCTGTAGCTTGCCTTATCCATTTCTTCTTTTTCACTACTGGGGCAATGACTGTAGTTGTTGTGGTTTGAGTCCCTATGTCAGCCATAGTGTCCTCCATTGCAGTTTGGGTCCCTGCCTCCACTACAGTCTTCTGAGAATATTGAACTGTGGCTTGATAATCACAGGCCAGGCCCCAGTACAGGGCAAGAAGCTGCTGGTTTTGATTGGGGTAGGCAAGGCACCTTTCCATCAGGACAGTTTGCTAGGGTTGAATACCTGTTCAGGTGTGAAGTCCCAGGTAATGGGAAGTGTCAAATGCCCTAGGAACCTGCCCAAATCCTTCCACACACCCTGCCACCCAGGAACTTGGCACCTCAGGGTGCATCCCAATATATCATCACGTAAAGTTTGTTTTCTCCTACACCAGGATAACACCAGATTCAAAGAACTCCATAATGTGCTGACAGTATTAATAACAGTAACATTACTAAACAGCTCACATAAGGATTATCAAGGAACGTGGGAGACTTCATTATAAAGCCATTTATATCAATGTCAGGGAGGGGGGAAGGGTGTATTTCTCCATCATACCCAGATAGCCCCCCAGAAGATAACTCCCCAAGCATAACAAGACCGTTAGTGCAAAAGCAGAGCAGGGAACCATTGTTTATGTTAGTATGTTCCCAAAACTTAGCAAAATAAAGTAATAAGCAGTGCAACCAGCAAGCTCCCTGTCCCGCACAGGAGTTTGCTATTCAATAGCTACTATTACTATAACATTATATATATATATATAAAATTGCCTTTATCTCATCCCACATTGGGCGCCAGAAAGGACTATGGTGGGTTGACCTTGGTTGAATGCCAGGTGCCCACCCAGCCACTCTATCACTCCCCTTCCCAACCAGACAGGGGAGAGAGTAAGGTGGAAAAAACAACTCATGGGTTGGGATAAAGCAGTTTATCTAAAGCAAAAAGTAAAGCGGAAGCTTGCGTGTGCAAAAAGCGAAGCGAAAGATAGCACGGTTTATTCTCTACTTCCCATGAGCAGCGATGGTCGGCCACTCCCAAGAAGCAGGGCTTTGGTACGCGTGACGGTTTCTCAGCAGGCAGTCATTGGAGACAATGAATGCCTGCCTTCCTGCTCCTTGTCTCAGCTTTTGTATCTGAGCTGACGTCATATGGTATGGAATATCCCTTTGGTTAGTTTGGGTCAGCTGACCTACTTGGGTCCCCTCCCAGGATCTTGCCCTCAACTGAGGAAGGAATGTTACAGTGCTGATGCTGTGCTCAGCAGTAGCCAAAACACCGGTGTGTTATCAACACCCTTCTATCTCCCAGTGGAAAGCACAGCATTATGAGGGCTACTTTGGGGATGTGAATTCCAGCTCAACCAGACCCAATACACACCCCCAACCCCCTTGCCAGCATGGCAGTATGAAAAGCAGAAAAGGCTTTTGCTCTGTGTAAGCCCTGCTCAGCAATAACAAAACCCATCTCTGTGTTATCAACACTGTGTTCAGCACAAACCCAAAACACGACCCCATACCAGAAGAAAATTGACTCTACACCAGCCAAAACTAGCACACTCTAGAAAGCTAAATGGGGCGAAAATAGTCCCATGTTCAAAGGACTAAATGTGAGGGCATGCATAAGAACAAAACAGCTACTATCAGGCCAAAGGTCTACTTAGATTGTTTGGGCTTTTTTGCCTCCAAGAGTGTCTAATAGTAGATATTAGGGAAGGAATATAAGAAATATGAAAAGTGGTTTTGCATACTGGCTGCTTATGATTATAATTTTAAAATTAGAATTTGTAGAATTAGAATTTTTTTAAAAATCAATTTTATAAAGTAGATTTATGTCCTTGTATTTAATTTCAGTCACTACCTTAAAGTGTTTCTCAGAGATTGTGGGGAGCTTTCCTCCTTAAACTAAACTACGGAAACAACATTAAAAGACCAGAATAGACATCTATCAGTAGCTTTGCACAGTGCACTGAATGCTTCAGTGAATGTGATGGCAGCATGCCATTCCTCTTGAAGAAGGATTTGGGCTTTCCCCAGAAACAAATCATAACTGAAAACTTCAGGAAACTGCCTTTCTCAACTGGAAAAACAAACAAGGCACTGAAAGATCCAAATCTCTAGTTGATCACAGAGAGCTCCAGCTATCTTTTGGCATGAAGCTGCCATCTCATCCAAAGAAGTTACTTCTTAAAGAGACCAGTATAAGAAAGAGTTTTCTGTTTGTTTCTTTCTGGTAAAATCACAGGAGATATAAACATAATCAGGACTATTCTCCATAGCTCTCTTTGCATCACTTTTAAGGCAGATGAGAGTTCAGCTTTTTTATATTATTCATTTATTTATTTGTAATAATTTTTATATATTTGGCACTCTTAAGAAATGTGGACTACTATCTTGAACTGCGGTGACAGCAGATGCAGACACTTTCTATTCCATGTCTGTCTATATTCTTCTACACTTCTCAAAAATTCTTGTAAAGAATTTTTCCATTCACACCAAAGTGATAGATCAGTGTAGTGTACAAAGCACTCCTGATGCAAACCAAATGAAAAACTAACTAAACCTAAATGTTGTTTTGAGGGGGGGAAAGAAGAAATCAAACATGAAGACAATGTCTATCTCATGTTTATGAGGTGGAATGGATCAGAAGAGGGAAATTTGAGCATCCCTTCCTTCATGGCATGGGTAAAATATTTCCACATAGAAATCTGAGTGGTTGCTCATGCTTTTAGAGATGGACCATATTTTTTTCTTCACTTGAACATTTATCAAAGTTAACTTCCCAAGATGACAGCTACTTGCTCTCCAGACATAAGTGTTTAGTGTCAGTCTACACAGGTCATTGACCCATGATGGCAACTCTGGAGTATTTTGCCTCTCTGCATTCAAAATCATCTGTTGCCATTTCTTTTTCTTCTTAATCCTCTTTTAATGTGTGGAACACTCGGTGTGAAATCAATAGAATCTGAGACCATAAGGCCTTTCATTCATGCACCTCAGGTCTGCAAGGACAGGGTGTGCTATCTTTGATGGTCACTTCTGTCTGCAGTTCTCTGCTTGCAACACTGAAACATATGAAGTACAACCTTGGAGAACGTGGATCTGCAGTGACCTAGTTGACTGCTCACTTGGAATCTGAACTTGAATGTTTGGCTTAGTTTGGCTGATTCCCTGTTAAGCCTGGATTTCAACCCAGACTTTGTGAGTCAGACTTCAGTAGTAATGTTTAATCACAATGTAGCTTTGCTAAAACCTAACTAAATAATTGATGTTTGAAAGTGAAAAAAGTGAAGAATGCTAAATCTGCTTGTGCTTGTTATAATGTTCCCTAATCTTGCCAAAATTGCATTAAAGCCACCAATTCACTACAACCTTTCTTTTCACAGCAAAGGAACATAGAAGCTGACAATGAAATTCAAAGTGACAAAATACTTTCTTTTCATGCTTTTTGTCTGTTTGCGGTTACTTATAATCTAATAATACTTTTTGCATTAAGTAGTTAGGATTTTTCCTGTTTGTTGAAATTATTTAATAATGCATTTTTTTCTCCCCCCTCTGTGCTTGGAAAAAATCAGCTGGAGAATTTATATGTATTTTATTTTTACATATATAAAGCTATATAGGCATACCTCAGTATTACTAAGGAAGAGATTTGACTCTTGATACAAAACAAAAGGGAAGTATTTTTTTTCATATTAACATGTGTATTATTAGGTATCGGTGGACTAGAGTTTAAGGACTTTTAAAATTAGTTCATATTTATTTGAACAGCAAAATGTCTTTTTTGGCATGTCTATTTATTTCATGGTCAAAAACCAAATGACTTGTTGAATATCACTCCCCCTTACTTTGAACATATGCAAGTGAGGAAAGTATATTCCAAATATTGGAAAATACTTACATGTTCTCAATATGATGGAGAACTACTCTATCTTCCTTTCTGAGGACAGTGGTTCAAAGACTGAAATAAGACAGGGGAAAAAAGCTTCAACTCTATGGATGATGCAAAAACTCTCTGCTGCCTTGGTTAATGAATGGTTGTCGTGGTTTAACCCCAACCAGCAGCCAAGAACCACACAACTACTTGCTCACTCCCTCACCAGTGGGACCAAGGAGAGAACTGGAAGGATAAAAACCAGAAAACTTGTGGGTTGAGATAAAGACAGTTTAATAGGGAAAGCAAAAGCCGCACACACAAACAAAGCAAAACAAGGAATTCATTGACTGCTTCCCATGGGCAGGCGGGTGTTCAGCCATCTCCAAGAGAGCAGGGCCCCATCAAGCGTAATGATTACTTGGGAAGACAAATGCCATCACTCCAAATGTCCCCCCCCTTCCTCCTTCTTCCCCCCCCACTTTATATACTGAGCATGATGTCATATGGTATGGAATATGCCTTTGGTCAGTTGAGGTCAGCTGTCCCAGCTGTGTCTCCTCCCAACCTCCCATGCACCCCCAACTTCCTTGCCAGTGTGGCAGTATGAAAAATAGACAAGACCTTGACTCTGTATAAGCACTGCCCAGCAATAACAAAACTATCTTTGTATTATCAACCCTATGTTCAGCACAAATCTAAAACACAGCCCTATACCAGTCACTTTGAAGAAAATTCACCCTACCCCAGCCCAAACCAGTGCAATGACTTTATTGTCCTGTGAATTCCTGCAGATTCCCACTGATGTAGGCAAGTTTGGTAAATGGACTTTTAAGATTCTCCAAGAAGAGAAGTGGTTTTCCAATATCTTTATACCCAAAACTGCATATTTAATAAAGAAGGTCAAGTGTTCTTGCAGTTTATGAATAACCCAATATAATAATGATGTAAGGAAGAGGATTTCTTTCTTATTTCAGGTTGCGAGTATTGGAATCTACAACTCCTTTGGGAGATATGTCCCGTCCACACCACATTGTATCAGTTGTTCCAAACCGTTATCCCCGCTGGTTCACCCTAAGTCACATCGAATCCCAGCAGTGTGAGCTGGCATCAACCATGCTAACAGCAGCCAAAGGTACATTGTTGTAAATTACCTACTTAACTAAGTGTATGCTTTTAATATTTCATGGAATAAACAGATTATAAAACTTGTGTTTAGGAATTCAAATTGCAGTCTGACAGGAGCTTGAACTGACTTAAACTTGTCACTTAATTTTCTAGAAAAGTGATTAAACTAGATAGATGGTAACCAGATGGGCTTGATTTGAGGCTGATGAGATAGCTTTTTGTTCTTCTGGCACACAATATAGATTGTAAAACCCAGGAGTGGACAAATCACTTCTAAAATTCACAAATCAGGATAACTTTTGGTCATATACTATACAAACACCATCAGGCACTAGAGGAGTTTGTGCTGTCTTGCATCTTTTGTTCATGTAATTTAATTATGAAAGGTTTATAAAAAACGAAATGTGTATAACTGAAACATTGTACTATTTCATAGCAATGGCAAGCTCAATTATAATGCATTTCAGGATGTTTTGGAAGCTTGTTCTGTTTACACCTTGCAGGTGATGTTCAGAGGCTGGAAACAGTGTTAGAATCCATTCAGAAAAATATCCACTCCTCATCACACATCTTCAAACTTGCCCAGGATGCATTTAAAATAGCAACACTCATGGACAGCTTGCCAGACATCACTCTTCTGAAAGTTTCTCTGGAGTTGGGCCTTCAGGTATTTCCCTCGTTCATTATTTCTACAGTAGAAGACAGGAATTTTACCCTGTGTTGGTGGGTACAGCTTTTTAAGTCACTGAGGAGACTCTTAAAGACCCTCTTTGGGCTTTGTCTGCAATTTTTAGATTCTGTTTTCTGATGTAAAGCACAGTTGACTGGTAAACACAGACCAAGGATCTGCACAGTCCCTTTGTGCCATTTGAGTGGAAGAGACAGCTTGGAGCAGCTGGTTGCAGGGTACTCCTCTGTTCAGGGGTGAGAAAAGACCAATGCAATGGGTTTTGGAGTATATGTAGGGATGGCTAGAGAGCAAAATTATTCTACTTTCCAGAAATCATAGTATCATAGAATAGTTTGGGTTGGAAAGGACCTTTAAAGGTGATCTAGTCCAACCCCCCTGCAATGAACACAGACATCTTCAAAGTTGCTCAGAGCCCCGTCCAACCTGACCTTGAATGTTTCCAGGGATGGGGCATCTACCGCCTCTCTGGCAACTTGTGCCAGTGTTTCACCACCCTCATTGTAAAAAACTTCTTCCTTATATCTAGTCTGAATCTACCCACTTTCAAGTTAAAACAATTATTCTTGTCCTATTGCTACAGGCCCTCCTAAAAAGTCTGTCCTCATCTTTCTTATAGGTTCCCTTTAGGCACTGAAAGGCTGAAATGAGGTCTCCCCAGAGCCTTCTCTTCTCCAGGTTGAACACCCCCAACTCTCTCAGCAATTCCTCATAGGAGAGGTGTTTCATCCCTCTAATCTTCTTCATGGCCCTCCTCTGGACCTGCTTTTGCAGATCTTTTCCATGACCTTGAGAGGTTTCTCATCATTCCTCCCATTCTTCCCTTCCTTTCCCTCAAATGATATTTGATAGGTGTGTCTCAGTTTAAAGAGACTGGAGTGTTTTGCTAAGGAGGATGAGTTATGAGGTAGACCAAACTCTTCTCTCTCAGCAATTGTAAATCTGAGATTAAGAGGCTCCAATCGAGGAAGTATGGAAAAAGGAAGAAATAACAACCCTTTATTAAAGGATATATGTATATTGTCAAAAACAGTAACAGAACACAAAAACAATTAAGCAATAATCTTGTACCCAAAAAGTCCCCTTTAAAAAGGAAACCGTTTGATACTTCTCTGTCCTCTAGCGCAGTTCTAATCACAGTTGGCAGGGGGCGCTGTTGGATCACTAGAGGTGCAGAGCCTGCAGTGCTCTGTGGTGCCCTGCAGGGGGCGGTGTTGGATCACTGGAGGAGCAGAGCCTGCAGTACTCAATGTTGGTCAGCAGGGGGCGCTGTTGGGCTCTGGCAGTCGCTGCATGGGGGCCCCCAGATCACAGGGGAAGCCAAAATGGAGATCTCCCCTGTCACCAAGCAGGGGAAGGGGAAGAAAGGGGAAAGAAAGGCGGTTTCTTTCCCACTTAACTCATGCTGTCTGCGGCTGCCTGTAGACAGGACTCCTTATGGCGCATTAGTTGGAGGGGGAACCTTCAGGCTCTGGGTGCCAGCCCATTACCTGGAAGGTGAATGCTCTTCCCCCCTGCCCCCGCCACGTGGCCCGGCGACCCCGTAAGGAGCTCACACAGACCACCAGGGAGGGACGGACGAAAGAGGAAGTTTATTGTGGGGTAGGGGTTTATAAGGCTTTTAGGAGGGTCAGAAGGGGACCAATTACAAGTTCAGGGTCACACAGAAAAAACCAATCAGGTAAAGAGTTAACAGCCAATAGGAAGGGGTTAACAAGGACCAATGAGAAACACCTCAGGACATCTTCCCAGGACACTCCTGTATGGGAGACAATAGTCCTTCACAGGGGGTGTCGGGAAGAAGGAGCAATGACTTTGCAGGAAAGCAAAAGCCATTTTGAAACCTGTTTAAACCACCTTAAAAACTTCTGTTTCTATAACATTTGAGCTGTTTTCTTCTTTTTCTTCACTAGTCCATCTCTGACAGGACTTCTTCCATCCTACATATGGCAAATCCATTGCCACATCTCCTCCTTTTGTGTTTTCTAAAACTGGATATGCTTTTAATGATTGAGAGGTTCTGGCACAACTGAGCAAGCATGGAAAGACACACATAAAGACAAACACTACAAAAAGTCCTAGTACGATAACTACAATAATTTTCTTAATAGTGGAAGAGAGGCCTTTAAAGGGCAGCCAGTTGAAAAAATCATCAAAAGTCAGATGATCAATTTGCCTGATTTCATGAACTAAGGACTTAAGCTGATTGATCTGGGAGTGGATAGTTTGGGAATGATCAGAGAAGTTGAGGCAGCAGAGGCCTTCAAACTCCTGACACCCATGGCCATTTACTAAAAGGAGAAAGTCTATTGCAGCACGATTTTGTAACAAGGTTTTCTTATTGGTTTGGGTATCTTGTAATAGATCATCAAGGGTGGCACTGGTGGCATTAGCTTCTTTTGCTAGCCAACATCCCATTCTGGTAAGGAGCACTAAGGCTTCTATGGAGCTGACAACTGGAAGCATGATACCACCTAGAACGTTTATGGTGTTGGACCAAAAATGCATGTTGGAATTGCATTCTGCTGTGAATTCACTCAAGGACTGCAATTTTGCTAAGGGATGTTCTTCAACTGGAGGTGGGGGTGCTGCAACCACAGGGACCTGTGCTGCTTTAGGTGGAGAAGGTGGTTTTGGTTGTGATGGATAGAAGTTAAGAGATGGGTATAAACCTTGGAATTGCCTGCGCACTCTACAGAGCTTCTTACATGGGAAGGGTGAAGTCGTTTGGAGGTTAATGTTTCTTTTTGCACGATTTTTGGGAGGACTTACAGGTAAAGATTTCATAAAGGTAGCTGGATTGTACAGTGTTAATTTTCCAAATGTGCAGGGGCCTCCAGCAGCTAATCTAGGAATCATATTCCAGACTCTAAGTCCACAAATTAAAAAGACTCCTTTTGGAAGAATAACTGAATCAGGGGTAGCATGTATCTGGTAAGGAACCTTTTCCTTGCACCAGAAACTGAAGTTGGAATAAGGTCCATAAGAGGTGACTTTAATTAATTCAGAAGGGGTAACATATTTGTTGTGAACGAAGTAAAAACAGAGAGGAGATATAATACTCCCCAAGATTTCTAATTCCTCAGGTCTCTGCCACTGATAGCTAAATGTCTGTCTGTCATGTGAAGTTTTTGCTGGTCTTGTGAGACAGTCTAAGAATGGATTTCTAAACTGATCATGGTCATCACACCAGGGGATATATTGATTTCTAAAATCACCCCATTCTCTTGGTGTCCAGGGGATTCCTACCAGACAGGTCTTAAAAGGGTGAGAGGGGTCTAAGGTAGATAAACAGATAGAGTCAGTATTTAATGATTGTGCCAGGTTTAGCCAAACATTTTGACCAGAGAGCATTACCCAATTTGGAATTGTTGGAGGAGGTGTGGCAAGGGCTCTTGACGTTAGGTCTTTCTGATTTGCTGGTGTTATGCTGCACACAAGAAACAGGATTATCCCGAAAGTGATGTTGATGGGGGATTGCTTCCTGTAGTTGGTGCTGAATCCGTTGGTGCTGGATCTGCTGCTGGTTGAGTTGGGAGGGAAACTTCTTGGTGGATCCTTACTAGTCTGGACGGTATCCATCTTGGACCTGTTCCTGTGGAGACACAAGTGTGTCCTCTTCCCCAAACAATTATGGGGACAGGACCGAGCCATTCTCCTGTCAGGATATCCTTGTATTTTACCTTAGCTTCCCCCGTTTTTAATTTTCCAGCTCCAAAATGATGTCCAACAGGTAAAACATTCTCATGCAACCTATTTAAAAAATTGAGGACATACAATGCCTTGTTTAAACATTCTGATGGAGAGAGACCTACAGTTGTTTTTTCTTGTTTTTTCAGCATATCTTTTAAAGATTTGTGAGTTCTCTCTACTATCGCTTGGCCCTGTGGAGAGTGAGGAATGCCAGTGGTGTGAACTATTCCCCACATATTGAAAAATTCTTTAAGGGAAGCAGAAATGTATGCTGGGGCATTATCTGTCTTTATTTGTTTTGGAATGCCCATTATGGCAAATGCTGAGGAAAAGTGTCTTTTAACATCTTTAGCTTTTTCTCCTGTATGTGCAGTGGCAACAATGAGTCCTGAGCAAGTGTCCACTGATACATGTACATATTTCAATCTGCCGAATCGTGGTACATGTGTAACGTCTGATTGCCAGAGATCTAAGACCTCTTGGATTAACTCCTACAGATCTCACTGGAGTTACCAATTGACAGTCTGGACATGCAGACACAATGGCTTTGGTTTGAGAGGTAGATAACTGAAACATTTTTTTCAGTGATATAAAATTTTGGTGGAAAAAGTTATGAGAAATTTTTGCTTTTTCAAAATTGTTAGGTGTAGGTACTGAGTTAACTGGGAAAGCTGAATTTGCTGCTTTATCTGCCACAGCGTTCCCTTCTGTAAGTGGGCCTGGGAGGCATGTATGTGATCTGATGTGAGTGATATAGAAAGGATGTTTCCTCTGTTGGATTAATAGTAACAATGTTTTAAACAGGGTAAACAACTTTTGATTGTTCAAATCCTTTAAGTAACTATTTTCTATGTGACTCACAACTCCTACAACATAGGCAGAATCTGATACTAAATTCAGAGGCTGTGGAAAAAGTTGGAATGCTCTTACCACGGCTGAGAGTTCAGCAATCTGAGACGAACCTTCAACTTGATGAACATCTGTTTTCCATTCTTCTTTTTCAAACCAAGCTACTACTGCATTACTAGACTTCCCCAAGCCGTCTGTGAACAGTGTCACAGCTTTCTTCAAAGGGCTAGTAGAAAAGTTATTTCTCAGTCTGGGTTGAGAGATGGAAAGAAACTGTAGAAAAGGAATTGCTGGTAAATGGGTTATCAGTTTGCCTGTAAAATCTGACATAACCAGTTGAAAATCAAACAGATGTAAATCATAATAACACAATTGAGATTTGGACAGTGGAACATAAAGAAAATCTGGGTCTTTCCCTGACAGTTCTAACATTCGGAGCTTGCCTTTGTGACAGACTTTTGCAAGCATTTCAGGTAAAGTAACAATTGTCTTTGAAAACTGGTGACTGAGAAATACCCATTCCCACAAAAGAAATTTTTTGGTTTTTGAGTCCAATTGTCCTATTACAGCAAAAGGTTGTTTTGGTCCACGAAA